GACAGTGGGCTTCATAGACTGCCGGCAGGCTTTTTGCTCTGATGTTGATGATTCCTATGGAAGAGGGATTTAGTACTAAATTTGATTGCACCAGCCAAATGTTCTTCAAACTTTTTTTTCCCCCTGGACCGCTTAATTATATTTTTGCATTTAATCTGCCAGGTTTTATGATCCTTTTTATTTTCTTCATTTGGATACAGCTTCTGCATTTGAATGATGCCTTCTCAATTCTAATAAACTCTTTTACTTCCCAAATCTTTAGCTCACTGTTCCATCACACCTGCTTTTTTAAATTGTTTCTCAAGTTTTTCCTAACAGACAGTGTGCACTAGAGCTCTGCTTTCAGTAGGATGTTCTTTGGTAGTCCCTGTGCTATCCATGAGGATTTTGTTCTCTCAGATAACTATTTTAGTTTCTTTTAAAACAATTTTCCTCATTTTAATATACTTCAATTTCTTGATGTTTAGCCCAGTTGTGGTGACTTTTTGATCTTTGATGCTCCAAAGAGTATATTTGATCTAAGTATGTTGTGATCATTGCTTTTCAATGGTGGTTTTTCTATGAACGTTTGAACCAGAACCTACATAGTCTTTACAGTCATGAAACAGAGTATTTTGAAATACTGAGATGAAAAGATTTTAAGGTGATAAGGAGACAGCTCATGTATATGTACTACTGTGGGATTGATTTGAAGGCAAAATTGTAGAAGAGTTTTAAGAATATATTTTGAAGTATTCAAGTGTAATGAAATTTATCAGGAAAGAGGGTAGTGGTGTGGAGATGGAATGACTTAGTCTAGTATCACTGGAGGAACAGGGCTGGGGTCAGTAAGATACCATAGAGTGACTTCAGGCAGTATTGAGAACAAGCAGAGGAGAGGAAATAATGGACCGGGGAGGTAATTTTTGGTAGGAGCACTTAGAGTGGATTTGAAGAGTAATCAAGGAATATTTTGGTTGGATGGTGTGGCATGAGGATATAATATGATCTTTCTACATACTAATTTGTTCATGCAAACAAAGCTGCCTCTGTGTAAACTGGGTCAACATCTTGAAGGCATTTGGACAACTGGGCCCTGTCTGAAGGAGTTCATATACTAAAAAAAGATTCAAACCTCAGAAAATGTTAATGGACGAATGCATGAGAGAAATGAAGGAGTAAAAGTTGTGCGTAGTGCCAAAGATCTTGAAAATATACCAGAGTCCTGCAATGCTATATTATTTGTGCCATACTGCTTAGAAGATCCTCTAGGAAAATTAGCAGAAGAACCTCAGGTCAAAATTGTAGCAAAAGGCTAATCCTTCAATTAACCAAATCATTGATTTGGATGAACTTTTTTTATGCAAAAGGAGCAGGTAATTTTGCATTACTGTTTCACACATGTAGGCTTTATTCACTGAGGAAATGTAATCATCAGTCCAGGCAGTGCTTTTCTCCTTGCCTCCCAGACGCTAGCTTAGAAATAAATGTGTGCAGAATGGATGTATGTGGTAGTAGCTATATTCTTTCTCTCTGATTTATTTGGTTCCATACACGCTGAATACATCAGGCATTTGTTTAAGTGTATCTTTCTGGGTAACTGTGGACTGGAGGAATATTGAACTTGGTATAATAGGAATCTCTCAATAAATAAAAAGTCTCCCACTAAATCTCCCTTTATAAAGGCTGAGAAGGGAGATCTGTAGCATTCCACCTGCGTATGAATCGATTTCAATCAGCCTTTAGGAGATTTCAGGCTGTGTTAACTGTAGGATAGCACAGCACAGCAGCAAAACTGCCCTCACATCCCTTATTGACAGGTTTGTTATGAAACATGGAATATTTAGATTGAGGAGATTCATTCCAGTACTGCAGATGCCCAGCCCTGTTATCTTAATTTCGAGTCTACTCTAATGCTATCTGCCAACACACCAGCTTCCCCATCATATGCAATAGGACACTGACTTCTCCAGATAGGCCTTTCCTGCAAATGAATTAGCTTGTTAATGCCAGGACACTGAGGAGGATATTTTCTAGTTACTTTTTTTAAGGGTAATTTCTGTATTTAGGAAAATGGGCCAACTTTTCCATTTCAGAATCCTCTGATTCATATATGGGCAAGGTGAGAGGTTAGAGGCCTCAATGTTAATGAGTGAGGCAGCCTCTGATTTTTACACTAATTGAAGCATTTACATTTTTCAGCAGAACTAAAATGCAAAACTAACACATTCCTTGGAGATTTATAACCCCACAATAGATTCTCCTAGCCTCTCTCCCTTAATTATCCCAAATTATCTGAACTCTCATGAAGAAGAAAGAAATTAATATTAATATTCCATTTAGAATATATTCTAAAATGCAGTAGAAAATGGAGGCAATAATAATGATAAAGAGGGTAGCTAAGATGATTTGGAATATATAATCTTTCTTCTCTTCATTGCAGCTTTCTTATACTAGAATAAGCCAGAAAAACTCAGTCTTGCATTCACTTAGCAAAGCAATTTTTTTTCTGCAGTAGCTTACAGTGCAAAAGTAAAAGCTCAGTAAAATATTGTTCTGTCTGTTAAATGTAATATTTTGGCTCTGCACCTTGATCAGAAAAAAAAATATAAAGAAATTGGATAACTCTTTTTGAATAGTGTTTGTACATGGGGGACAAATATACATGTGTGACTCCTCACTGGAGAGTAGACAGGAAAAATAACTAGAAGAAAAGAGCAGCTGTAAACTGGCCATGAACTGAAGCAGAAATTATAGTTTAAGTTGAAAAAAGGAGGAAATTACAGTTACCAGAAGAGGAAACAGTGGGGTCAAACTAATCAAAAACTACAAATGTTGAATTTTTGTGTCTATGGACCACAAGTCAGAGAGAGAATGTACTTGCATGAAATTGGCAGAGAGGTGCCACAGAGAAGGGTGGAAGTGAAAAAGGAAGACTCTCTCTTCATTGAGATGGTGAGACCAAAGTACCTGGTAAATGTCCAGCTGGCCACTGACTGCCTATTGTTGTGAGTTACAGGTTTGTAATTGGCCTCTCCTATTCCGAGATGGCCATCAGCTGCTGCGCCAAGTTCCTCTCTCCCAGCTCCAGGGCATTGACTACAGGGCTCCCACTGCCCTGGAAGTTTGTAGTTACAAGACCTGAGTGGAAGATTGGTTTAGTTTAGGTTTACAAGTGTCCAAAGATGAAATACAGCCTTGAGAAATGGTCCTTCATGGTGGGATACCATTCACAGTGAATGTAAAAGTATGCCCAAGTTCAGCTTTAAAATTGAGAGCATAATAAATGCCTGAGTCCCATAGCCACTTCTACATTTTGTTCTGTGTAAATTTGTTCAGGGTATCCACTCACTGTGCGAAGTCAGGGACTTTCAAAGGACCCATCCACTTGTAAGGATGTTGGCTTACATTCACATGCCTTGGTGTTCCACTGTGGTCTATGATTAAAACCATGTTATCCTGTGAAGTAATGTTTGATTTCTTGGACAATATTTTGTGTCAAAACTGTAACTTTTTAAAGGTGGGAGGGATATGAAGTAACTCCATTCTCCTGTGCTTATAGACATTTTTCTTCTCACTGTCTTAGTACAATGTTAGCAAGTTGCTGTAGGGGTGGAAGACATCAACTACAGTGAAGGCCAAAGCTGTTGCATAGGGCATCACAGATTGGGCCTGAGGATGGATTGTGGGTGAAAAGACTGTAATATTAAAAAGAAATAAAACACTAACAATAGAGAATGATACTAAAAATAGTGAACAGACTTGAGCTCAGCTGTGAATTTGAAAACCCATTTTACTGTTTCTTTTTAGCTTGAAAAGAATCTTTGGTGTTTTTGTAACAATTTTCCTGCAGTCTTTTGTCTGGTCAGCTTTCAGAGGCCCAAGACACGTTTGTGAGCAGTATTGAGGCATGGAGAAATGTATAGAAACTGGTCATGGTCAGCATACAGTCCAGCTGCTCAGGACTCTGCATCACATGTGTGTACAATTGTAGTGCAGCTGGGGGATACTGTGGGTTGGGTTTTTGGGTTCATTTTTGCTATAGAGCTTCTGTGAAAGGAACTTGTGTTTCTCAGCTTTCTCCAACAAGACAAACTATTTGGGAAGGAAGACTAGGTCCCAATGAAGTGTTTTGTTGTTCTGTTCAATATAGCAACATTCAGTCTCAGGAAAAAGCAATTTTGTGATCCTGACTCTTTGGTTTTATTTACAAGTCAGGAAAAAAACCAAATCAAACCAAAACTCATGGCTAAGGATGTTCATAGTAGCTACAGGTTTTTGGTGTGAATGTGTGTTTTGAATAGTTACTAACGATATGTGACCTCTAAACATAATGGAAAGGGGAAACTAGATTTTATTTCATTTAATCATGTAAAAATCAAGAACACTTGCAATCCACCATTGAGAAACAGTAATGTGATAGATAAAGCACTGGACTGGGGTTTAATCCAGGCATGGCTGTAGAATTTCTACATCAATTTGTCCAAGAAAATTAACCAGAACACTTATCCAGGACTTTTCTATCTGTAAAATGAATATGATAATCCCACATTATCCGCCTGGGATAAATCCATGAATATTACTTGTATTTACTAACGTTTCAGATTATTTTTTTATCTTCTTCAATTATTTAAAAAAAACTTTAAAAAAACCTGACTAAATATATGAAAGGGATTACATTGCACACCTAATATAAATTGACTGGTACATTCTAGACTGTTGAATGTCCCTGGATGAGAAATTAAATAATTTGTTTAAATTATTGAACAAGTGGTTGCCCAAACTATCATATGACCAAAGATATCTTTTACTGACTTCATGATAACTGAAAATTTCTGAAGCAGTCATAAAAAATTATGCATCTTAGTTACATTCCTCATTTATTGTTTTCAGTAAGTAAAAGCTATGAGAATAAAATGACATAATTTTAGTATTAAAACTAGAGTTTGATTTTTTTTATGTGGCAAAAATTTTATGGATTATTTTCTTGTTCATCATTTAGTGAGCAGCAAAATATTCTGCAAACTGCCACAGAAGAAAATAACACATATGAAAGGATGAAGAAGGAAATAGAACAGCACATGCTGTAAATTGAACAAAATAAATACAAGGTATCTATGCATGCTTTTTATTACATGCCTTTTTCTCTATTACTTTGGGTAGAAAGAAATATGCTACATTTCTTCATGGGAATTAGGATAAGACACTGAATTCCAGATGCTACTTGGTCTTAATTTGGAAAAACAAGAAATGTGGGGGTTTTCCATTCTTTTTTCCATTTCCTTACAATTGTCTCCTGTGCATCCCATAACAAATCTGCAGTGGTGCTCATTTACAAGAAGAGTGCCACATGTGAGTTCACGATGGTCTGATTGTGAAAGATTTGCCTTCCTTCCCTTTTCTGGAGATCCCAAAGGCCACATTTGTCTTACTCTTTGCTATGGGTGTAACTAAATGTAAAGCACTTTGGGATATTCAGCTATATAAAGTATTGTCATTGAAATGCAAGCTGTTTTTCTGCAGAAAAACACAAAAGGAAAAAACCCAAACAAACAGCGACAAAAAGCAAATGAAAAGGTTTCCAGGGATAAAACTGTGAACACTGTTAGATAAATTAAACATTAGGAAGAAGGGAAAATACTTCCAGAAAACAAATCAGTAAGATTAAAAAAAATTTTATTTGAAAAAGCTGACAGGCTTAGAGAAATTTCTAGCTTACAAGGTATTTGCAGAGAGAAAATATGATTAATCAAGACACTATTATCAAAGTAAAAACCCTAAGTATTAAAATTTTAACTCTAACTTGTAGAGAGTCCAGATCTTTTCCTCTGTGACATAAATTTGCACAGGCATTAGAAGCTTCAAATTACAGAGTTTCTTCTGTATTTTACCTCCTTAGAAATAGTATTTGTCCTTTTGAAAAATGAGTGTGAGACTCTGTCCTTCCCAATTTATGACTTCTACAGGACACATTAGGAACTGGAATTATTTATAAAAACAGGAAAAAAAAAGTTAACAAGCTCATTGATGGATAGTCCTACTTATTCACTGCAAAAGGATACTTTTGCCATGGTGAAAAAGTGACAGGACTTACCTTGAGTTGTCATTCAGCCATGGACTAGACCCTAGGTATTCAGTCTTTCAGGTAAATGCCCTGATGACAAGGCTGTAGAAATATAGGCATAATCATGGGGTTTTTTTTCTCTCCATTGATTCTAGTAGTTTGTGTCCAATGCAACAGAATAAGGAGCCACATGGAAGTCTCCTGTTCCGGGGTAACAGCCCAACCCTCACATCGCTAAGTAGCAGTCCAAGAACAAGTATCACACTATCCAACTCCTCTTTGCTCTTTTTGGAAAGGTAGCCTCTGTTTAAATCCAGGAACACTCACCTGCTCCTCCTTCCATCCAGGTTGTTTCAGGAAGTCATGGTTCTACCTCCTTGTAACCTTCCTCATAAGAGGAACCCATCCCCACACGATCTTCTGAAGGAACTTCTCTGTTGGGAAGGCAGTGCTTGAAGCAGGGCAGGGGCACATGCTATCTTCTGGCTCCAGTTGTGCTGAGCAACTATTTTTTAAGTTTTTTCTCAATTGAAAGTTTCTGGAAAAGAAGTGGAACTCAGACCAAAACAGTTTCGCTTTGCTAGATATCTGATGTTCGCTATACACGTATTTTCCTAATAATTTAATAGCCCCACCAAAAAAAAAAAAAAAAAAAGTTCTCTATTAGACTTCTAACTTTTGTTTCAGTCTCCAATGATGGTTTCTCATCACAATTCATGTTCTGAAGGTTATGGATTTTAGTTAGGTTTTATAGCTTTCCCATACCAGACCATATTAACTCCTGTTATAATTTACCAGTCTATGCTGAACTGAGACTCATGTGTTGATGCCTCTCTCTTTACGTAATGTTCATGCTTCTCAGGTTTGGATGGTTATATGTTGAAGGACAAGGAATATCAGGAGTGTGAATTGCCCTTTAAATTTGTGCTTATTCTCTGCATTTTAGTTATTATGCTAAAATGTCTTCAAGGCATCAATTCACTTTGTCTTAGAAGTATAATTTGATGAAAATTGGGTCTTCTCCCTGGCTTAAAGGATACATATCAACAAACATTTCCATGCCAGGTGTACTTAAGAATGAAAAGTTGGACTTCTCTTTAAAGCTGGACTATTTTTTCATGTTTTGCTTAAACTTACTCAGTTTGGGTAAACTGTCTCTCCTGACATTTGATAGTTTGCTTCAGTAATGCTGTGCACTCCCACTTTTTTAGTGGTGTGTGCAATAGTTTAGGGAAGATTTGGCAAATTCTGAATGTTAGTTTTGCATTTCCCTTTTGTTTGGAGAAATAACCTGGTGTATTTTATTTCCTGAAACATATATCTGTATGTAAAGAATACATGTATCACACAGTTGCTTTTCTTCTGCCCCAGACTGAAATGCAGTAGGAAGGTAGGAGAAGGCCTCAGCTGAGTTGAAACTAAAGAGAAAAAAAGAAATGCACATGTACCATTAAAATCTGGATCCACAGAAGGTAGTTTTTTGGCAGCTTTATTTTTGTGGGTTTCTAACAACTGTCTTATTTAATCTGATTGTGAATAAGGAGAGAAGATTTACTGCCATGAATGCTAGTGCATGGTCTAAGCTACAGCTTTCTTTATTACTTCCATTATCACAATGGATCTCCATTGGCCTGAATTGCTAACATCCTTATAGAAATGATAAGACTAAAATGGTTCTACCTGTCATTCACTTATGTGTGAATCGACAATCAAATGATTGATCAATTTCTCTGTGCTTCAATAGCTACTTTCATCCTGATTTGCTGTATAAAATGCTGCAGTTTCAGCTAAGTTTTCTAAGGGGTAAGTAAAGTAAATTAGGCAATTAGACATAATCTTAGACTTAAAAATTGAAAACCCATCAGCATATCTGTCTTGCAAAGAAAATACATTTCAAAATCTGAAAATACAAAATCCTTTGTAAGGAAAAAATATCCTCATAATAGAAAACTCCTGTAGTCCTGGCATTCTGTGTGTGAATGGCTTTCATGAATTTCTAATATATTTTTCTTTTGTTAATTTTTTCAAAAAAACTTTGGACTCTAGAAGCTTTTAAGAAGGAGAAGTTTTTTAAGTGGAGCAATAGGAAGTGCTAAATATTTTATTAGTGATTTGCGATAACATGCTTTCCTTTATTCCTTTAATAGAAAAAAATCATGACAGTTAGCAAAATGATGAGGATTAATGTATGAGGCATGGCAGCCTCTGAGTAATGTATTTATAAACAGTTTCTTTTAAAAAGAAAGTATGTCAAAATAGATTACAAGAAGACTAGGAAATTATTGTAGTCAGATCAAACAGAATACACAGTCCATGAGTTTTTTCTGTAATATCTGCTGCATTCTGACTGAGATCACCCAGTCTTCATCTGCTTCCCTCTCTGACAGGAATGTCATGTTGCTTTTGTTCACCTCCTTGGTTTAAAACAGAGTATAGTGAGTGACTATCTCAAGAGTCTAACGTACAAAAAATTCTTCATGATTTAAGTGAGATTTCATCCCAAATCACTTTTCTGTTTATTTAGTCCTTTTTGCTGCTGTTGGTGAACTGTGCCCTTCCTGATCTACAGGCAATCATTCACTTTTACACATTAATATGACCAGAGTTGTATGTTCTACGTAATCTGTCAAAACTAAGGAACAGTGACGAGCTGCAGAAACAAAAAAAACTCCATAACCAAACACCTAAATATAATGATAAAAATTGAGACAGAAACCATCAAAATAGAAAAGTTGAGGCAGACAAAGGCTGAGTAATAGTTTTGAAAGGCTGACTGGAAGCCACTGTGCTTTAGGCTGTGAGGGCTTCATCCAAGTTTTACTGGTGGCAGTAGAATGGCTTCAGCAGGCTTTGATTCAAACCCAATTCAGCCAATTTATTGAATGACTTCTTCATTTTTGTTGCACCAGTCTTGTTGCTGAGCAGGAATGAGGAGGACGGAGACAAGGGGATGCCAAAGGAAAATTGACCACACAAATGTAATGCTGGAAGCATTAGACTGCATGGGGTTGTTCAGCCTCCACAAAGAACCAAACTTATTCCCATGGAAACCAATGTTCAAAGATGAATAAGTAGCCTGGCTCTCAGCAGCTCCCTTTCCTCTTTTCTCTTTTCTTCTCTCTTGGGATGTTTTGTTGTTGTTTTTGGTAAAGGGAAAGAAAGAGTCTCTTCACCTCCAAGCAGCTTGAGAAAAGACTGGCAACATTCATTCCACTAATAAGGTGTCAATTAATGCAAAGAGGAATGTCCTGGATTTCTCAAAGAGATGTATTTTTCAATAGGAGCTAGTCAAGATGTTGATGAGGTTTTGTTTCTTTCTCTTTTTTTTTTTTCTTTTGTTTTGTTTAAATTGAACATAAACTTTCTTGAAAAAGGGGGATGCAAAACTGGTGTTGTAAGTCTGCCCTCACGTGTTGGATTTTAACTCCTCAGGAGAGAAAGTGTAAGTGAGCTCAAAGAAATCCACCAGAAGTATTGTGGCACCACCCAGTACAGATACTCAGGTCTGCTTTTTTTAGTGTTGAGGTTTGGATACTGATGTAGGTGTAGCAATGGATTACATACACAGGAAATACACAGAGGTTGCAGTATCCATTTAATGTAGCAGATGTGGGTCGTTTTAATGCCTACTCTAAGTAGAGAACAAATTCAAAAGGAATGTTACAGCGATGTTGTTGATGGTATCAGTGTTATAAGGTGTTGCAACTATTGACTGATGTCAAAAAAATGAAAGGTGGGCTGAAAAGCACAAGAATGATCAACCAACTTTTAATAAGTAAGGAAGATAGTCTCAGAAATCAGAAAGAAATCCTTTGTGTTCGGCTTCTTGCGAGGAGGGCTTCTGAGAACAGGAAATGCCATAGGATACAGCATCATATGGGAAATGTCCAGTGTGAGTCAGCATGAATCAGTGCTTAGATGGGGCACAAGTGCTTCTGCAGGCTTCCACCTGGGCCAATTGAGTCTGATGTCTCTAAAATTGTCAGTGCCCAGTGAATTTTTGGTATCATAAGCATCTACAGAATAATTTTTCCATTCAAAGGAGGA